TATCCGGGACTTGCGCCATCTTCGAAACGTGCGCCGTATCCGGGACTTGCGCGACGCGACTCCTCGTCCCTTCGGTGCGACGCCGACATGGTAACATACTCGATGTTCTTGTCAAACAAGTCATCGGCCCTGCTGTGCGACGTGTCACTCGCGGTATACCGTCTCGTAGGGTATTTCGGCGATTTCTCAGACACTTGGTTGCGCGGAACCTCCCAGGAGCGGTAACTCTTCGTAGGAGCCATGTCTATGCGAGAGTTAAACATCGCAAGTTCATTTCGCATCGCATCTTTGACGTCTTGGCTGTCGCTCGATTGCTTGGGCTGTCTTGGGTAGTAGGAAGTCGATCCTAAACGGTTCCCACGCACAATATTATCTTGTTGTTGAAGACAGATGCTGTTCAGTCTCTCTTTAATTTTTTGAGCTCGGTGTTGCGCGGAGGAAATTTGCACCGAATCTCTGCACGCAAACTGTTCGGAGAGCATACTGTCTTGTCCGGCCATCCTAACAAAGGAGACGGAAAGCTTGGGGGTTTTTGCTTTTTAGTGACTGGAAAGCACTTGAGCCAAAAGGGCTACGGTAAAAGTTAAAAGTTAATGGAAAGAGTATATTATGTTTGTTCATTGTTTTTTTAATGATTAAATAACTTTTAAAACATTATAAAAATAAAATTATTTTATTGTTTTGATTATCATTTTTTTAGTTTGGTGGCTTGATATAATCTCCTAGTGTTAACTTTGAAAGATCGCTAGAACCGTTTTCTGAAAAAACCTTCAATCCACACTTTATCATGGTATGGTTTTTTACTTCGGCATAAAGATTTTTTGCACATTCCCAATCGTATCCTGTTTTCTTGGAAAACTCTTCTGGTTTCGTCTTTTTAACACATGCCAAAGAGTATTGCATTACCATGTGTTGTTCCAATGATCCACAACTTAATGCAAAACCATTCACTGATTTTGAGGGTTTTTCTATCACCATAGAAAAAATATTGAATGCTAAATTGTGGATTTGCTTGTTCATGAATGTTGAACAAATTTATAATCAGTGATTGTGCAGTTACAATAGGCATTGTATCAACTCTTCCACAAGGACATATGATTCGTAATGCCATTCTTCTCGCAACAGTTGGTGCAACTGCAATCTTTTTTTGTCTTATAATCTCATCGTATCTTTTTGAAGAAAAATCGATGAACCACAAAAGACCACACTTCGACAAATGAGAAACAGAATAATAACATGCAAGATTTCTGAGGTTTATATATGTAACGGAATTGCAATGTTTGCATAAGAACAATACCGCTGGTGGCATATTGATATCTCCTTGAACTACCTTGTAGTAAAAATGAGAGTATTTTTCTTGGTATTGTCCAAAAAAATCATGTGCTTCAATTTTTCCTTTTTCGTTCTTTTGTACTTTTGTAAACATAGATTGATACAAAAGAAACATTATGTAATCAGGTGTCGTTGTAATATATGGGGAAGTAATAGTATGATTTGGAAGGTCATATCCAGTTTGTAAGGTCGTAAGCCATTCATTGCATTGTTTCGATGGCTTTGCATTGTTGCAATCACTATAATTAATTATGTTTTTTTCCAGTGTAAGAATATCCATATTTGATGTTTTTTTCATATTCAACTTTCGAGGATCTATTTCTCTATTAGTTGTTTCATGAAAGAAGGCCTTGTGTTTATAAACTTTTTGTACTATCTTTGGTACAAAATCACAATCATTGCCAGATGACATTTCTGGAACATCTGATGAATATTACTTTGTATCTTTTTCTAGAATATTCGTTGTATCATCATCTGCCAATAAAAAATCAGTAACTGTAACTGTATTTACAGAAACATTGGTTGTTATTGGATATTGATCGTACGTGTCGCATATAGTTGGTTCGCCAATAAAAGAACATCCAGGATCACTTCGAGCACGTTTCGAATATCCAATATTTGTTTCGTCTTCACTGTCTTCACTGCATTCACTGTCTTCATCGATTGAACATTTTTTTCTTTTTCTATCTTTGCTAATGTTTGTGTCCAATTTTGATACTAATTATACATTCCAGTAGAATAAACTGGAATCATCAAATATTGTTGTCCATCCGAACCCATTACACATGTGTGATTGTCGGCAGGTTCTCCGTTGAGTAAATATGTTTCATTCTCAAAGGTCAGTGTCACACTACGTGGTATGGGAGCCCGTTGAGAATTGTGAAAAAAATGGAAAAATCATTCTCAGCGGATCTTCCATTGCCACGCGGTGTTGTATTCGGACTAAAACATGCGTCCAACGTTTTTGGTAGTTCACCATCAATCATATTGTGGTAATAAAATGCCACAATAAAATTGATCTGAACTTGTCTTTCTATTATCATTCGCTTGAGCCAAAATGGCTACGGTAACAGAAAAGTATTTAACAAATAATATATGATATATGTTTTTCATTTAAAAAACAAAACAAAAATGCCGGTTGAGTCCGGCAACCCTTGGTGTGGCGAAGTGTGGAAACCCTCTTGCGGCCCAGGAAAACTGAACCAAACCAAAGAAACGATTAGGGTGTCCTTTTTGTTGGGACCATGGACAGAAGGGGTTTTCGGGCTCCCTGCAACGTGTGGGGAGTCCCCCCTGGTGCTGTGGCTTTTGGCGTCCATGCACTCTCCCAAATACAGGGAACGTGACTGGAGGCCCCGACAAGACAGTTTGCCTCTGGTCCAAGGGAAGGCTCCTGGTTGGTTCCATGTTGACAAGAGTGGAATATCACGTTGGACCATCCATTTCTGAATGGTCAGTAGATAAATCTGCTGAACGGCAGGTTGCTTAAGGTTCAATTATAGCAAATCAAAGGACCACCATGGGATAATTGTGAGGTGTGGGGTGCTTCCAAAAACGGTTCAACCTCCTGAAATGGTGATCTTCCTTTTGGCTTGCCCGACCAGAAGAGGGTCCCTTCCGAATGCTTTGGACACCATTTTGCCGCCGCAAGACAAAAGGCTGAATTGTCCGGCCTTGTGCGCATGCGTACTCGAGTACGTCACCGTCCCACTCGAGGACCTAGAAGACCAGTTTCAAGGGCTGATGCAACACTGTCCAAGCAAAGGTCCTGTATTACAAAAGGGTGGCAATCGCCCTCCTTTACACAGATTCCTGTGCACAAAGATCCTTTGCAAAGAGGTCCTTTCCTTTTTTGCTGTTGTCATCGAGTGTCAAGAGGGCCCTTTACAAACGGTGACCTCTACTTCCCAGTCACATCGGAATGGCTAAATCATTGCTCACCTTTCAGCAAAAGGTAACGGCACCTGCCACTGGGTACATTAAGCCACGTTCAAGATTTGTTGTTAACCCAAAGCACATGGGACAATTTGTGAGCCCCTGGCTTTGGATACAGTTCTTATCCCCATGTCAGGACCCCCAAGTTGAAAGCCTACAAGAGGTTTGACAAGGAACGATACTAATTGACCTTCCTCTACCCGGGCTTTGAGGAAGTCGCTCGTATCCCCCCATTTGGAAACAAACCCAAGTGAAGAACGGCAACCCTGCCACATGAAGAGCCTTTGGGGTTGTACGACAGAAGCTTTAAATATTGCAAGTAAGCACAAAGGAAATCCTGGTGCTGAATGTGGCTGACCCCTTTTGAGAGCCCCTTTTTGTTAGGCATCCGCCTCGCCTAAAGAAAAGCAAGCAATCCGATCCAAAAGCCGCCTCAGCATCCCCTTCTTGGTCTTGGTGAGGCAGTCCCTCGAGGGCACCACCACCGTATCCTGCCAACCAAGTCGACCGAGTCTTTTCGAATTCCGCACGACAAGGCGCACGCGGAAGGCTCAGGAAAAGGTGTGGGGAGGGGGTGTCAGTTCGATGAGCCAGAGCCGAAAGGAGTCATACTCAATTTTCTTGTGGTCAAAAGGGGCTTCCCAACAATGGTAATTGAAGATGCGCCAATGTCCGGCAAGGAGCCAGCTTTCTAACCTTCGCAATCCCAAATGTTTCGGTGCAACTCCCCAAGACTAGGTCCGGCACGCCTGTGCACCGGGGTTCCCTAAACTTCTTCCTTGAAAAACACCACCCCAAAGGAAGCTCACGTCGAATTGGATTTCCCAAAAGGTGATGTTTGAAGTTCCACCCTTGAGCTGGGAATAGAGTTGGGACCCTGGCAAAGCCATGGCTCTCCATCAATGGGTGGCCGACGCTGTAGGGAACGCTGGCCAAGCCATCGGTACGGATTGGTTCAGCTCCCCGAGGCGCTGGCCATGTCTCTAACTCGGATGCCCTCGGTGAGGTGAAGCCTGGCATGGACGCTTTGGCGCTCCGCAGCGCCTGGAGGGCCCAAATGCGCAAACGGGTGTGCGTGTTTTTTGAGGGCACCCTTTTTGGGGTGGTTTTAACGGGGAACGAAGGGGAGAACCACCATTTTGGGGGCATCGCCCTTGACACATCCAGTGAAATAGAGGCGCTTCCAAAACTAGGAGACGGTGCCGCAACCGAAAGGAACTGAAGAAATTAATGGAAACAGCGCTAGTTGGGTGTTTGTTTCCAAAACTTGACAGAGATGAGCCCCTTTTGACTGGTGGACAAAAAAACAAAAGAACAAGCCCATTGCTCGGTGTTCACAAAACCATGGCGTCGGGCGGAAGCCCAGCTTCCGAAATCGACATGGATGCTGCCAGGCCTGGGGGGTTCAAATTGAAAAGCAGTTCGACCATCTGCAATTTGACATGGATTCAAAACAAGAGTCAAGCGGCCCAAAAGCGAAGCTCACTTTTCCCCCGTATCCAGCTGCCACTATAGTTAAGTGTTTACATGATATTATCCGCTGGTTTCCTCAAGAGGTAACTGGATCCGGTGGGTTCATTCTAAAATCTAACTTCACTAGATTTGGCGCCTGGAAGTAATGTCGACCCCGGATGCATAAACCTTGCGGATTGACGAGCAGTGTGTCCCAAAGCGAAGAGTTGCTTCTGAAAATGGATTGGTTGCAATCAACTGGGTTCTGATTCGCTTGAAACCTGTCACAAATGGTCTTGTCTCCAAATGGAGGAACCCCTGGTTTCCCTTGATTACCCCCTGGAAACGAAACTAGAACCCAAAAAACCTAAAGGACCCTTTGTCTTAGGCCCCCTCTTTTCTTGACTAGACTTAGGCAACCTGCAAAACATTAACTCATCACTGCTCAAAAGAGAATGGAGGAAGCCCAAAAAGGTCATTTCAGTCTGGAAAGGTTTTCTGGGTGGTTCCTTCTTTGGAAGCGCTTCAACGTGCACCACCCAGCGAGCGCCGATTTCACCGCGCCGTCGCCAGGAGTGGGGCCAGTGTGGCTTCACTGGCTCCAGGCCCTTGTAGTAAGTCAAGGGCTCCTCGAGTTGGTTCGAAAGCTTCGAACCAACAGTCTCTAGACGACTTACACCAAAAGACGATTGTCAACAGGGAAATCGATCAAGAGGGTCGTTGGAATGAACCGCTTGAACAAGCAAAGCCCTCAAGCTGGAGGTTTTCCGGGGGTGTCCAGGGAACACCCCCCAACTGGTGGTTTTCCAGTGGATTGCTTTTCTTGGCAAAGCTACAAGGCCTATCCCAATATGGGCTTGAGCTTTGATGCTCAACTGACAGGTATGCGCCCCCCCCTCCGCTTTGATCTACCCTATTTGTGCTTCTTGCAGCTGGCGGTTGCTGCTGATGTTTTGAGAACATCCATTTCGGGGCTTCAAAAGCCAAACGAAACCCGGGCCCTCAGTTTAAAGCTCGCCCCACTTAGGAGAACGATACATATATATATATATATATATATTATTATATATACATATATATGTTTACATATATATATATATATACCCTGTCTAGCCCCAACTGAAGCTTGCAAAGACCTCCCAAACGGGATAGACTTCCCAACCCTTGGTATGTTAGCCGCAAGCTTCAGCTTTTGCAGCCCACTGAAAACGAGAAGCAAAGAACCAATCAGGTAAACCAGGCGTCCAGAACAGTCAAGAGGGCTTTGGAGGCATGTACATTGCCGCAAAATGCCGCATGCTTGGCGAGGCCACCAATGGTCTTTTGAAAGGACAACCATATGGATTGAGCCTCCCTTGTTGGACAGTTTTGAAAGCAGACCACGCAAAACAGATTAAAAATAACCTTCTCCCAGAGTATGAGGTTCGATTTGGGCAGGTTGGGTGACCATCAGAAATGACATTGTTTCAACGATTCTAACTCAGTTTGCCACCTGCACGATGATCCTAGAAAGATGTGAGAAAACATGACTATGGATTTTATTAGGAAGCCACCTCACTTGAGGAGCGGGTGAACGAAAGCTAGCAGTTGTTGCATGAGATGGGTCGGTGACAGAGTGGTTTCATAGGTAGCTTGTGTACAACGAGAGGCCCGGCAAGATTCGTAGGATGCGACACGCAAACGCACATGGTGGCGTGGCAAACCTTGAAAAATGAAAACAACAAGAGGCGCCAGAAGCTGTCTGAAAGCACCTCTGGGTTCTGCATGCTGCGTGTGCAAAGATTCTTGCGAGGTGGTTTACCGAGAAGACTGAGGTCTCAAATGAACAAGCTGAATCGGTGGAACATGCAAAAGTTCGCAGCACCATGAGCCACTGCCCGGGGGGGGGGGGATGGACCAGGGAGGAATCGAGCCTGAGACCGGGGGGGGGGGGGTCTAAATAATTGGTGTTTTTCAATCTTTTCTGAAAAAATCAATCTTTCGGCATTTGAGCCCCTTACCTTGCTTACGCAAGGAGAAACTTCAGCTAGCTAAAGCTAGCTTTCGTGAAAAGTGGTTGGTGGACGGACATCCCCACCTACATGATGTCCACCAAAGGGCCCCTATTCCAATTCATTCCGATTTCAAAAGAGACCCTTTGAAACAGAGGGGTGACCAAGACCAGCAGCAGGTCCTCCAGGGAGGAGTCCAAAATGCAACAACTCCCTGCCACGAAGCGGTTCGCTTTGTGGGGAAAGAGTCGAAATGGGTGCAGCCAAAAGGACCACTAACACGGCAGCTGACAGAGTCCCTTCAAGAGGAATTTGACCCTCCCACCGCGTATGTTTGTGGGAGGAAGGTTATGCGTTTGAATCGCGAGACCCCCAAAATGATTGCTTTCCATGCCCTGCAACGTGCAAAGCGTACACTCAAAACAACACACAAAACGTTTGCCATTACCCGAGAGGTCCCATTTAAAGCCAAAAGCCAGGCTGAACCAGAGCTTGGCACGGCGAGAACCCTTGTCTTGTCCAGGAGCCCCAACAAGAGCGCAACTGCTTGGGTTGCCCAAATGACGCCAAGCCCTCATACAGACCCCGGTCCCGTTTGGAGTGAGTTAAGGAAACCAGGCCATTGGCGAGCAAAGCGAAAGCAACCAGCCTTGCTGCCTGTGACAGCGCGAGACATGCCGAGGCCACGGGTGTTGCGCAGCCTGGAGGGTTTTGACCTGCGGGAGAGCGCTCCATCTGGACCCGAGCCGAAAAGTGGCCAGTGGCAACACTCCTCCCAATGCTCGGCTTT